TTGGTTTTGCTGTTTTTCTTTTTTCACAAGGAAACAGTGAACCAAGTGAGTGGATCAGGTCAGATCAGTATATTTGGAAATGACTGTGATGTTAAAATACCAAAAATATAAAAATACCCATTTTCTTTTATTTTATACACTAGACTGTAAATTCCTGGAGGGCAGAGTCTGTTTCTCTTTCGTCATTCTATCTCTGGGGCCTAATTCAAGATAATCACTTAAAAATGCTCATTGATTGATGGATTTTTTTATATACAGTCTCATCCAATCCTCATAATGACCCTGGGAGATGGATATAGGTTCATGGGATTCCACAGTCTGAGGGAACTCAGAGTAGCTATTCAGTCTAACTTTTACCTACAATACAAATATGGTTCACAGCATCCCAGATAGGTGGACACCTAGCCTCCCAATGGGTGAAGACTTCTAGGAAGGAACCAGGAACTCTTGATCTCTTGAAGCATTATGATGCAACTCTAGTCATTATGTAGTTTTTTCTTTTTCTTTTTTTTGTCACAGGCATTTTTATTAACAGACCATTAGAAAAATAATCATGGTAGAGATCTTTAGTTCATTTTTCTAATAAGCCTATTGATCTGGTCTTCCCTGTTACCAGCATCTCCACCTTCCACAAAATGTGTAGTCTTTTTCTTCATTCCACCTTGTGGAGAAGATAATTTGAAGGGCCACAGGAAGTTGTTGGCAGCTTTGAAGTGCTTGCCAACAGTGTAGATCTCATGGATCAAGTCCTCCATGCAGATAATTCCATATTTACCAAGAGATTTTGCAGTAAGGGCATTATCCGTTAGGGCAATTCTCTGTTTCCTGATCTTGCCATAACCATGTTTGTAAATCAGGTCATTCACAGACTTCAGGTTTGGGTAACCCCATGCAATGTATGGTTCCACAATACTCAGCGTGTCAATGGAAGCCTTGTTAAGCTTAACAAAAGTGCCATTGAAGATTTGGCGAAGACAAAGAAGCTGCAAAACTTTTCAGACCTTTGGGCTAACACCATTGATACCTCTGATTCTGATCACAAAAGCTAACTTGGGTTCAGCAGGTACATAGTAGTTGCCAGCTTTGCATGCCATTCTAACCAGCCGGATTTCACTTCTGTACATCTGTCTGTACTCTTTATGGTAGGCTTTAGCTTTTTCATAGATAACTTTCCTCCATATGTGATGAAGCTTTTTTACAGCCATCTTCTTCTTTAGGTGTTTGGCCTTCAGTATTGCAAAACCCTTTCGCTTTTTCAAAAGGGATTCTGGAACAGATGGTAGCTTCTTCTTTTCTTCTACGCCCACCATGATTCCAGCTGGAAAAAGAGCTAGTTTTTTCTTAAAACTGGAATTTGCTTGCCTCCAAGTAATTTCCACCTGTTGGCCCAAGTTCCGCCTTCTGGGGTCAAGTAGAATATTTTAGGACAGCTAGGTGGTGCCATAGTGCATAGAGTGCTGGGCCTGGAGTCATGAAGACCCAGTTTCCTGAGTTCAGATCCAGGCTTAGACACTGACTAGCTGTGTGACCCTGGGCAAGTCACTTCACCCTATTTGCCTCAGTTTCCTCATCTGTCAAATGAGCTGGAGAAGGAAATGGCAAACCACTCTAGTATCTCTGCCAAGAAAACCCCAAATGGGGTCATGAAGAGTTGGACATGACTGAAAATGACTGAAGAACAACAAAAGAATATTATGGCATAAAAGTGGCCCCAAACAGCCTCCGGAAAGTTCTACTAAGATGGAAAAGGAGCAAGGGAATAAGCCTTTACATAGCACCTACTATGTGCCGGACGCTGTAGCACTTGTTTTGGGGGAAGGCAATCAGGGTTAAGTGAGTTGCCCAGGGTCACATAGCTACTAAGTGTCTGAGGCCGGATTTGAACTCAGATCCTCCTGACTCCAGGCCCGGTATTCTACCCATTGTACCAACATCTGCTTTTGAATACTGGCTTCATGGTGGGTGGTGTGCCTGCTATTTAGGGTGTGTTGTGTGTGTGTGTGTGTGTAGTCTCTGTGTGTCTGTAGTTTGTGTGGTCTGATCAGCCAGTCGGACACACTAAAACTTGACTCTAGTATATTGACGTCATTTTGCTCCTCTTTGAAAATGAAGGACAACAAAAAAGTGTGTGTAGGAAACAAGTATTTATTAAGCACCTCCTACGTGCCAGGCACTCTGCTAAGCTCTTTACCAATACTATTATTTTATTTCATAATATGGACTGAGTGAGGATTCTGGGCACAGAATTTGCCTAGAGAGGGGCTGCAATCTGCACTGGTGGAGGCCATCCCTAAGCTGATGGAGTCCAGGATTACTGAAATGTACTTACATAGCTGATGGCAAAAGAAAAGTTCACGGTTGGGAAATGATCTGCCCAAGGTGACACAGGTACGTTGTGACTGGAAAAAAAAGGACTTTAAATGGCAATCTTTGGACTCCACGGCCAAGTCCAGAATCATCAACTTCAGAATAGGAAGAAATCTAAGAAATCACCTCAGCCAGGGGTTTTTAGTCTGGCTTCCACGAACTCGTTCTTTTTTACAAATATTTTAATAATAATATTTCAATATATTTCATTTCCTTTATAATCCTCAGTATTTTATCTTATGCCTTGAAAAACATTACTCTGACGAGTGGTTTGTAGGCTCCACCCAATGGCCAAATGGGTCTATAATACACAAAAGGTTACGGACCCCTGGTCTAGGCCAACTCACTAACTTGATATATAATGAAATAGAGAAGGCAAGTGACTTGCCCAGGGTCTCACAGCTAGGAAGTAGTAGCAGACCTCAGGTTCACTTCAGCCCCCCAAGGACCCTTTTCCTTGTTACTCACTGAATGTACCAGACCTGTATTACTTTTTGGTGTTTTTCCTCGTTTTATTTTCATCATTAGTCTGGAAAGCCCAAAGCAAATGTTTTCTGGAAATCACTCAAGACATTCTATTAAGTTTCAGAGGAACCAAAGAACACGAAGTAGAACTGAATGAGAGGGGTCAGCTGATGTATTCTTGCAGGGTGGTGACCCTCCTGCATTCCAGTCACATAGCATGCCTTCCACCACCCAGAGGAGGAGGAGGAGGAGGAGAAGGAAGAAACTTGTCTAGTCTTTTTTGTCGAGACACAAAGCAGGTTTAGAACTGGAACAGATCTCGGTGAATGTCATTTAACCTGTGAAATATGCCAGGTACAATGGAGTCCAGGGAGATGCTGGGCTGCTGTCTAGCTCTGGAGGAAAAGCACTGCCATTTCAAGGGACTGCTTTAAATCCTTGGAAGAAACTTGCCCACAAGACACTCCGTTTCCCGACTCCATGACTTGTCATTGGCTGTGCCCCCTCCTGGAATGCTCACCCTTCTCATCTCAATTTCCCAGCACCCTTCAGGTCTCAGCGGAAATCCCATGTTTGGCCAGGAGCTTTTCCCATTACTCATTCCCCTTCAGTCCTCTCCCAAGCGTCCCTCTGAATCTCCAGGCTTTGCCGCCATGATTCAGCTGCTTCCTCTCCCTGGAACATCGCTCCCCCGTGCCAACCCCCTTCTTCCATTGGTGAGTTCTTTCCAGGGCCTCTATTTTAGAGGTGAAGCAAGGTAGACAGACCATGCTTCACTTTCGTCCCTCTTTCCCAGTCTGCGCCCCACCTTTTAGCTTTCTTTTGGGTGTGGCCTTCCTCCATTAGAATGTAAACTCTCTGAGGGCAGGACAATCTTTTTTTTTTAATTTGGTAGTATTTATTTATTTTTCCCAATTACATGTAAAGATAGTTTTCAACACTCATCTTTTTGTAAAACTTTGACTTCTAGATTTTTCTTCCTCCCTCCCTCCCCTCTCCCCCAAACAGCAAGCAATCTGATATAGGCCATCCATCTACAATCATGAGGGACTGTCTTTTTATTTACATTTGTATTGACTGTGATTAGAGGCATAGTTTGTTCAGTGTTTTCAGTTGTGTCCAAAGACCATTTGGGGTTTTCTTGGCAAAGATACTGAAGTGGCTTGCCATTTCCTTCTCCAGCTCATTTTACAGATGAGGAGACTGAGGCAAATGGTGACGTGACAGCCAGTAAGTATTTGAGGCTGGATTTGAATTCAGGTTTTCTTAAATCGGGGGGGTGGTGGGGGGGGCAGTGGGTATTTACTCCCCTGCGCCACCTACCTGACCATTAGTGGCATTCTAAGAGCTTACAAATATTTACTGCCTGTTGCCTGCCCCATGTTATTGCTAGTGCCTTCCCTGTGGCATTCCCTCTAATTTGCTCTGTATGTATATAGCTGTTGGCATGCTGTCTCTCCTACTAGACAATAAAACTCCTTGAGGTCAGTGACTGCAGGGGCTTTTTTTCCCCCCTTTCTTTGTGTCTCTAGTTCTTAGCACAGTGCCTAGCATATAGCAGGTGCTTAATAAATACTAAATGCTTGTTGACTTCGATCAGCTTAACCTGCAGCATTCCCTAAATACATTGTGCTTTTTAAGAATTAATTCAATGAAAAAAAAGTTCATTTGGAGGTAGCCTATTATGGTGGAAAGGGCACAGGCTCTCTAGAGCCAGAGGGCCTAGGTTCCAGTCTCATCTCTTGACATTAGCTATGTGACCTTGGGCAAGTACTTTCCCCTCCCGGGTGTGTTTCCTCCTCTGTAAAATGAGGGGGGTGGACTAGATGACCTGTGAGGCCCCTCCTAGCTGGGACATCCCCTGTTCTGAGGCCCCTCTCAGCCCTGACATCCCCTGTTCTGAGGCCCCTCTCAGCCCTGACATGCCCTGTTCTGAGGCCCCTCCCAGCTCTGACATCCCCTGTTCTGAGGCCCCCCTCAATCCTGACATCCCTTGTTCTACCCTCCTAGCTCTCATATTCCCTGTTCTAAGGCCCTTCCCAGCTATGACAACCTCTGTTCTAAGGCCCGCCTCAGTCCTGACGTTCCCTGCTCTAAGGCCCCTCCCACCTTTAACATCCTTTAATGTTATGCGGTTATGCCAAATAATACCAATCTACCAAAACACGTAAAGAAAAGGCTCTACACAGGAATTTAATGGAAACAAAGACAGTATAAAGTTGTCATCCATCTCCAGCTAGGATAAGGTCTTCTTTCGTTTTACTTTTTCATCTAAATTTAAAATGTATTTCATTTTTTTTAAAAGTTCCTTGGCTTTCTGAAGATCACCTGAAATCAAGTAGACACAGGACAGTAAGGCTGAGCTTCGTTTTGCCCAGCACTTCCTGAGCAGGGGGGTGGAGCCAGGATGGGGCCGCGGCCCTAGCCCCACAGGTCCAGGCTCCTTCCTGCTCTTCTGCCCTGCACACGGCCCCTGGCCCCTGTCTCCGAGACCCAGCTTCAGGGCCAAAGGGCTGGGACCTTTCAGAGGTAAGAGGAGGTCAGACAGATGCCCGAGGAAGAGATGTGTGTGGCTCAGAACCACCAGAGTATGGGGGGAGTGGCACAGGTGTAGGCAGGCAGTGTGAGAAGGGCTCCTCCCCACCTGCTGGTAGGCAGAGGACTGGGTTTTGTCTCTTTTGGATTCAGAGTCCGAGCCAAAGCCCCGGTGGCCCTGCCCTAGTTATGTCTCTGCAGCTGTACTTATGGTTTGTTGATTCTATAAAAGCAGCCTCAATGTCCTTCTCTAATAAGGCTTTTCCCATGCGTGTGTCAAGACCTCGCAAGGTTCCCTGGTATACCAGCAAGACCACTTCACTTAATGACTGTCCTAATGATCAAAAAGACTGCCAAAAGGACTGACACAGGCTGGCCAAAAGTATCCAGCATCCAGACTCAAAGGGTGATGTGGAAGGAGTGCTAGATGGGGAGTCAGGGGACCTGAGTTCAAATCCTGGCTCTTCTACTCCACCTGTGATCTTGGAGAGGCCACCCTCTGAGCCTTTGGGTCCTTCTCTGCAAAATGAGGGGCTGGGCCTGTTGGCCTCCAAGGGCCGTCCTGGTTTAGAGTCAGGATCCCTCCTAGTGGCTTTGCTCCCCAGTGACCCTGTGCTGGGCGAAAGACTGTTGTCTACATCAGGACTTCCTAATCTGGGGTCCCTGAGCTTGTTTTTAAGAAAAACATTTCTGAAAATTGCATTTCGATATAGTTACTTTCCTGTATGATACTACAGGCTTCACTTTATGCATTTAAAAACATGATTCTGGGAAGGGTCCACGGGCTCCGTGGAGGACCAAAGGTATCACGGCCTCAGACAGGTGATGAGCCCATCGTGACGAGTATCACCCGTTGGTAGCCATATTTTGAACAGACAAAGAGCTGCCCTAGAAATGAACTGGAAGAAGACAGTGGGCTGAATTGGGGAATCCACTTGGGAAGCGGGCAGAGCATTCAACGACCCCAGCTGCTTTCTGAAGCAAAACCCCATCTTCTTCATACAAATATTTCCCTGGCTGATGGTCTGTTGCTGTGAACCATAGACCACAGAACCACAATCTGGCGATTCTTTGGTGAGCCACAGGGTGAGGGAAAGACATCTGTCACATCTAGGTAGGCTATGGCAGATGACCAGCCATGATGGTCCAACAAGGATGGGTATGGATAGGATTACTGATCACCCAGGAGATGATCAGAAAAGGAGGGTGCCTGTCACTTAGCAACAGTGAGAGATAAGAGATGGGCAGCCCAAGGGATGCCCTGTTACCAACCTCCTGTTAAAAGGCCCAGAGGAAGGCCTTGCCACAGTGGGATGATTCATGGGAGGACACGGTGCCTAGGGTGAGGAGGCAAAGAAGGGTTGCAATCTACCGTGCTGGAATGAGACTCCACATCAGTGGCATCATGGGTCCACTCAACTGTTGAAGTAAATGGTCCAGGGCAAGTCCCTGTCTCTCTCTGGGCCTCAGTTTCCCTACCTGAACAAGGAGAGAGTTGGACCAGAAGAGCTCTAAGGTTCCTCCTGGTTCTGGATCAATGGTCTTCATAACAAGTGCAGGTCCTATACAATGTCTTACCCACAACTGACCGAGCAGGAGGCTGAGGCCCAAGAAGGCCCACATACTGGCCCATGGCCCGTGGCTGGTAAGGCCTGTGGTCAGGAATTGACTTCAGATGTCTACTTCCCAATCCAGGGCTCCCTCCACACTCCCTGGAATGTCTCTCTTGCAATACTTAGCATTAGGCTGGGAACCCATCAGGTCCTTAGATACTTTATGGAATGACTGCTTAGATCCCATTACTAGCAATACGCTCCCATGTCAAGGAAGTCAGAGGAATAAAGGGAGGTACCTTGTTTGAAAGCGTGGTCCAAATCTTCAGTCAATTCTTTCTCCTCATCTGGAAGAGAAAAAACCCAATTTTAGACTTCCCATTTAGAAAGGCGTGGGATGGACGCACATGATGTGGACAGCCTGAGCTACATAGCCGTCAATGAATGTGGAAATTGGGCTAGTCCAAAAGGAATCAGAACCATGGGACCTGGGCTGGCAGGGAGAACATCGGAGGCCTCTTCCCAATATCACAGGAGAGCTCAGCACTCAGCTCATTTAAACCATCTCCAAGTCATGACAGCCAGGAGAGGGAGTGTGGCACAGTGGGGAGAAAGCTAGCCTTGCAGTCAGAAGACGCGGTTCTGAGGCTCACTGGCCATATCCGTCAGTAAAGATTTATTAAGTGCCTACTATGTGCCAGGCACTGTATTAAGCAGTGGGGTACAAAAAGAGGCAAAAGCCAGTCCTTGCCTTCACAGAGCTCACATTATAATGGGGGTCTAATGGGGGATACCATAAGCAAACAAAGATGTTTGAATGAGCCATCCAAAGGCCAAATAGGAGATAATTACCTGAGACAAGGCTCTGGAAGTAAGAGAGGTTGGGGAAGGCTTCCTGTACAAAGGAGGACTTGAGTGGGGATCTAAAGGAAGCCAGGGGAGGTCAGTGAGCAGGTGGAGGAGGGGGCTGGGTTATGAACGGCGCTTCGTGTTTGGTTCTGGAGGCCACTGGGAGCCCCTGCGGTTTACTGAGGAGGACAGTGACACGATCAGACCTGTGCACTGGGAAAATCCTTTGGAGGCTGAACACAGGACAGACTGGAGTGGGGAGTGAGACAGGCAGACCCCCTAGCAGATATGGCAGAAGTCCAGGTGGGAGGGGATGAGAGCCTGTATCAGGGTGGGGGCAATGTCAGAGGAGGGAAGGGGATGTATTCCAGGGAAGTTGTAGAGGCGAAATCCACAGGCCTTGGTAACAGCTTGGGAATTGTGGGGAGGGGTGAGCGATAGTGAGGAGTCTAGGATGGGACTGGAAAGGTGGTGGCACACTCTACTGTAATGGAAAGGTAGGGAGGGTTTTGGGGGAAAGATAATGAATTCTTTTTTGGACATACTGGGTTTAATTAAGGTGTCTACTGGACATTCAGTTCCAGATGTCTGAAAGGCAGCTGCAGATGCAAGATTAGAGAAGCTGAGGCAGCAAAGAACCTCAGGGACCATTTGGTCTGACCCTCTTGTTCTGGCTTCTAAGGGGGGGAAGCAGATTTGGACTGTCCCTTCGATGAGCGCTCTGTGACAACAGAAGGTGGTAAACTTCCCAATGCTGCTGGGGCTCAGTTGAAGCCTGGGGTGTTTAGAGGGATAGGGGGCAGGGCCAGGTGCCCTCACAGACTCTGCCCACCCATGACAAGACTCTCACGTGCTAGGAAGAAAGGTCACATCTAGGCAATACCCCAGCCCCACAGGAGGCCTTAATGGACCTCAGGAGGAGGACGTGGAAGGAGCAGCAGGATGAGAAGAGGCCTAAGCAAAGGAAACCCAGACCAGAGAGAGGCTGTTGTGGGTTCTCCTTCGTTCTTGAAGAGGACCATGACGTCAGGAAGGTGCCATGACATGCAAGTGAATTGGATTTAAGTGAGGCAGGGCTGTGCAGAGTCACCAGCCTCACTTTCTCCTCCAGAGCCATCTGGGTCCAGTGGCCAGATATGGATCGGGACGACTGGAGACGGCCCCGGATGCAGTAGAGACCTTGGCCTTTTTAAGTTAATGTCTTTCCTAGGTCTCAGTTTGTCTTAGGTGACACCCCATTCAGTGATTAAGGCTAGGTATGAAATGAGGCAAAGAATGGCCTCTTTTACATAGTTAAAAAAAAAATCAATGCACAGTTCTGACAGCATGGAGGGCAGTGTCTTCAAGATTATCTTGAAGAGGGGAAAGATTTCAGATGACTGGAGAAACTCACAGATGGTCCAACAACCACAGCCCCAACGAGGGCGATCAGGAAGCCCTCAGTGCCTTGGCCTGCAGGCTTCCTTTCTCATTGTTGTGTCTCAATATATCAAGGGGGGGGGGCTTGTGGCCTTCATGGGCGAGGGAAGTGCCTCCTCCAGAGCAGGCCGCACTCAGACTATAATTTATAACCTTCATGAAGCCATCGATGAGATGGTCCCCATATAACCCAAGATATGGATAGCAGCATTTTTTTTTTGTGATGGCCAAGGATTGGAAACAAGTAAACACCCGTCGATTCGGGGATGGTAAAACAAATTGTACATGAATGAAGGGCATGTGACTGAGCTCCTGGGGCACTGTATATGGCCTGCTCTGCCAACTCGGAAGCCGTAGGTCCCTGCCAGTTATTACTGTCCTCCCTAACCTGCCCTCAGAGGGGCGGCAAGGCCCCTGCTGTTCCAGCCCCTGGAGACGCCACATGGACTCTTTTACCTCTGACAAAGGCTTCGATCTTGTCGGTTTCCACCTCACTTTGAGCTGCGCTGAGCCTCTCGTTGACCTCCATCATCTTTCCAAGAAACTCTAGGTCCATGTTGGTGTCTGTGCCTTCGGAGATCTCCATGCCCTTAAGCTTCAGCTGTTGGGGAGCAAAGGTGCAATAAAGACAGGCTGGCTTTAGAAATGGGGGATGGAGTCTGGAGGTGGAAGAGCTGGGTTTGAACCTCAGCATTCAAATTTTACAACATTCCCATTAAGCCAGCCTAATTCCCCCTCTCCTCAGCCTCTATGAATTGAACTGATTTTTTTTTTTAAAGTGAGGCAATTGGGGCTAAGTGACTTGCCCAGAGTCACACAGCTAGGAAATATTATGTGTCTGAGGCCAGATTTGAACTCAAGTCCTCCTGACTCCAGGGCCAGTGCTCTATCTACTATGCCACCTAGCTACTCCTAAATGAACTGAAAATTTTAAAAAGGCAATTGGGGGAAAGTATCCTTTTCAGAGGAAATGACCCCTTCTGGCAGTGTGTCAAAGCTAACTGGGGGGTTCAATGCCAGTCTGGCAAGTGTCTAGCAGAGTGCCCCAGGGATCTGTGCCTGGCCCTGTACAGTCGAACATTTTTATAAATGGCTTGGTTAAGGCTGAGGGAGCAAGCTCATCAGATCTTCAGGGGGCACAAAGCTGGGAGAGAGAGAGCTAACCCAGGGGATGATGGTCAGTATCCAAGAAAACTTGAGAGGCTGTCAGCATTGGGCTGAATCTAAGGAGATGAAGACGATCATTAGATCATAGATTCAGAGCTCGAAAGGTCTCACTTTACAGATGAGGAACCTGGCCCCAAAGAGGTTAAGAGACTTGCCCAGGCTCACACAGCTAGTGATGTGTCTGAGGCAGGATTTGAATCCAGGTCTTCCTGACTCTAAACGCAGCCAACAGTCATTAAGCCTTACTGCCCAAAATTTAAAAGAGAAGAATTCGAGAGTTACATTTGGGTCAAAGGTGCCAGTGACCTGGCTAGATGCTTAGAAAAGGCCTTTTATTTTTTAAGTTTTAAAATTTATTTTAAACTTAAATACAAAATAAGAAAAGAAAAAACAAACATTGCCACGTACAGAGCAGAACATGAGAGGATTCCATTTTAAGCAATACATTTCCATTTCAAGAAAACCTATACAATAAATACTTCACATGGTTTTTGAAGCAGCCCAGCTTTTCTTGGCTTCCTTGTAGGTTTTCTTTTCTTCTCTGCTGTGTACTTTTTACTTTCTATTTTCCCCTTCCCCCCTAGAAGGCTACAGTTCAGTGCGGATGTGTGTATATGTGTATGTATGTATGTATGTATGGACAACTGTACTACCCTTATTTCCACCTGTCACCTGTTTTTCTGAAGGGAGACAGCATCTTCCTTCATAAGCCCAAGTCTTTCCACGTTCTTCTAAATCAACCAGCTCATTTCCTATAGCACAGCAATATTCCAAGCCAATCAAATTCTGTCTGAGAGACTGTCTAGGAAAGTTTTGTTCTCCAATTTTCTGCTTCCTTCCATTCTTGGCTACATAGGTTTTATTTATACAAGAACATTTTAATTTAATGTAATCAAAATGATCTATTTTAAGCTTCAACAATGCTCTCACCTTATAACATGGTTTCAGGTCTGATACTACTAAATCTGGTTCTTTCACGTCTTTTTCCCTGGTTTCCTTGAAGTTCCTGATCCTCTGCTCTTCCCAATGAACCCTGTTATTATTTTTTCTAACTCAATAAGATAATTTTTTAGTAATTTAATTGGGATGGCATTACACAAATAAATAAGTTAGGCAAAACTTTCATTTTTTATTATATTGGCTTTATCTACCCATAAACAATAAATATTACTTCAATTTTTGGATCTAATTTTATTTGTATACAAGGTGTTTTGTATTTACAATCATATAGTTCCTGTGTCTGTTTGGGCAGGTATACTCTCAGGTTTCTTATACTGTCTAGTCTAAAACAATATTGAATAATATGACTGACACATAGTGTAGTTTCCCTATTTTTCTCTTTTGATTAAATCTATTTTAGCTTTAACTTTGTCCGAGATCATGATGATTACTCCTGTTTTTTTTACATAATAAATTCTACTCCTGATCTTTATTTTATGTTTGTGTGTATCTCTCATTTTAATAGCACTTCCTGAAAGCAATATATGGTTGAATTCAAATTTTTAATCTGCTATCAGTTTCCATTTTATGGGCAAATTCATCCCATTTACATTCTAAGCTATAATTACTTACATATTTTCCTTCTTCCTATTTTTCCTCATTGTCCTTCCCACCCTATTCCTGTCCCTCTTCATTCTTCTGCTTTACTTCTACCCACTACCTTGCCCTCCTATTCCTTAACCTACCTTGCCCTCCTATTCCTTAACCTACCTCGCCCCTACCAAGGATCCCTCCCTTATCCTCTCCCCCAACCCTATCTCCTGCCCTCTTATTTCTTTCTGAATTTACAATATGTAATATATATGTGTGTGTGTGTATATAGATATATAACTTCCTCTTCAACTCATTCCTATTAATCTACCTACCTTTCTATACCTGGTCTTATCCTTACTGAGTCCCTTGTAATTGGTCTTTGATGTTTACCTTATATTTCTCCTGGATCTTTTATGTCAAATTTTCTATTAAGTTCTGGTCTCTTTGAGACAAAATCCTGAAAGTCTGTCAATTCGTTGAATATCCATTTTTTGGTTGTTGTTGTTCAGGATTATACTTAGCTTTGTTGGGCATGACATTTTTGGCCACAACCCCAATTCTTTTGCTCTTTCATATGTTCTGTTTCAAGACCTGTGGTCTTTTAGCGTAGCCATTGCTACGCTTGTGTAATTCTAATTGTAGCTCTGCAGTATTTGGATTTCTTTTCTTATTGCTTGTATTATTTTCTCCTTAGCCTGGGGGTTTTAGAATTTGGTTATGATATTCCTGTAGGTTTTCATCCTGGGATCTCTTTCAGGTGGTGATTGGTGGATTTTTTTTCCTGTTTCTACTTTCTCCTCTTGTTCTAAAACTTCAGGGCAATTTTCTTTGATTATTTCTTGTATTATTGTATCAAGATTCTTTTTTTGATCTTAGCTTTCTGGTAGTCTGATTGTTCTTATGTTTTCTCTTCTTGATCTGTTCTCCAGATCAGTCATTTTTCTTATGAGATGTTTCACATTTTTTAAACTTTTTTATTCTTTTTATTTTGTTTTATTATTTTTTGGTTTCTCATAACACTGTTGGCTTCTCTGTGCCCAATTCTAGTTTTCAAGGAGTTGTTTTCTTCCTTAAGATTCTGGATCTCCTTTTCCAGTTGGCTGACCTTCTTTTCAAAATCTTGGATTTCTTGGATTGTTCTGATTCTTTTAAAACATTTTCCCTCAGTCTCTCCGGCTTGATTTTCAAAGTCTTTTTTGAGTTCTTCTAAGAATCCTTTTTGGGCAGGTGACCATTTGATGTTACTGTTTGGGGTAGGAGAGGCTTCATTTGCTTCAGCATCCTCCTCTGAAGGTGAATGTCTTCTCCATTCTCATAGTAACTGTCTGTGGCTGGGTTCTTTCTCCTTTGCCTGCTCGTTTTTGTTTTATCTTATTATTAGCAGCTTGTTATTAGAATCCCCTCCAGCCCGGGGCGTGGCAGATGGTGCCTCTGGCCTCAGGTCCTTCTTACTGGTATTTTTTGAGCTTTGTCCCAGGCCCAACCCCTGCACACCTTTCCTGCTCCCAGCCACAGCTGGGGTCCCCCCCATCACACTGTGCGGGAAATGCTCCTGCTCCTTAAGGACCTTCCGGGGGCTATGACCACTGTGACCACGAGAACCACAACGGAGAACTCGGCTCTCCCGCGATGCCCACCACCAGCAGCGTCCCCACCCCCATCTCTGCCCTCCCTGGTGGTGCACTGTTTCCTCCTCGCCCAGGACCACGTCCGCCAGCACAGCTGGGCCTGGCGTTCCCGGCAGCAGACGTTCCTTCGGTCTTCCCCTGCTCAGATGTCTGGCCCCCACGCTGTGTGTGAGGTGAGAATTCCTCTGGCTGAGGCTGAGGCTTCCTCCCCAGCCAGCTGCCCCTGGCTTGTGGGTCTTGCTTCAGCAGAGAGAGCCTGCGGGTGTTCACACTGCACTCTGGCAGAACCTCTTCCTTTCGATCTTCTCCAGTTGTCCCGGGAGGACCACTGCTCTGCCCCAACCCTGCTTATTTTTGCCATTCTACGTCCACCTTGAGGGGCTGTTTTGTCTTGTTTGTGGAGGAAATATGGAGAGCCTGGAGTCTTCTGACCTACTCCGCCGTCTTCCCAGAATCCTGTCCTTGAGCTTTAGCAGAAAGCAAGCACCACGGGTCACCAGTGAGATGCGGCAGTTAAGAAAACTCCAGCAATCCTGGACTGCGAGAAGATAAGCAAAGAAAGAGGTGAGAGCCTCACTGTACTCTGCCTACCCGAGGCCACTATAATCACCATCATAAGACAGTGCTTTAAGGTTCAAAGAGGCAAGTGCTGTCATTACCTCCATCTGACAGATGAGGAAACCAAAGCCAAGGTGAAGTGACTTGCCCAGAATGACACAAAGAGTGTCTGTGGCTGGATCTGAACTCAAGTCCCCCTGATTCCAGGCCTGGTGCTCTGTGCACTGCGGCGTCCCTCTAGTGGACAGTTCTGGTGTGACGTCTTTGGAAGGATGTTGACAAGCTGGAGAGCTTACAAAGGAGGGCACAAAGGATGCTGAAGGGTCTCGAATCTATGTCAGAGACGACCGTCTGGAGGCACTGCCCAAGAGAAGCCTGGGGTAAATGTGAGATCTGTCTTTAGGGATCTGAAGAGCTCTTCAGTGGAGAAGGGCAGACCCAGGGCCAGCAGTTACAGGTCACAAGGAAGGGCCTGTGTGCTGAACGTGGGGAAAGCCTCCACACAACGAGAATGTTTCCAGAGAGGCGTCGGCTGTGCCTGGGCTGGGGGCTGCCCCCTCGGCGGGGGCAGGCTGCAAGTCCCCTCCTCCAGCCTTGGCCAGACATGAGCTCTTGTGCTGGATGCCGCACTGCTGATTTGTGCACAGGTATGTCTCCGGCCTTTCCTTGTGGGGCCAAACAGACATCTTCTGATTTTGGTGTGCGAATGGAGGAACACAGGGACAGACAGTTTTGCTGCCTGAGAAAGTCAGGGAGATCCATGAAGCCACAGAGCAGGAAAACCAATCATGGAGGGGGGCTGGGGGGCACAGGTCAATGAGGGCCAGACTTGGCATCAGGAAGACCTGGGGTGAATCCTGCCTTCAATGCTTCCCAGCTTCTAGGACCTGGCTCAGTCAACTTACTTTTGCCTTCTTATCTCTATAAACACGTGTTGGACTTGGCTCATAGGGTTGCTGTGAGCATTCAGTGAAATGGTGCATCTAGAACTCTGTAAAACCTTTCTTTTTTTTTTTTTAAATCTATTTATTAGGCAGTTGGGGTTAAGAGACTTGCCCAGGGTCACACAGCTAGTAAGTGTCAAGTGTTTGGTCTGAGGCTGGATTTGAACTCAGGCCGGTGCTTCTGTAAAACCTTTCTAAAAAGGGCCCTGTGAAGGGCAGCCTGGGGCTGGGTTAGAAAGCAGCTTACCAGATATAAGCCGCGGCTCATCGGGGTCAGCAGGGTCTTGTAGGCCTCATTCACCAGCGTGGAATGCTGTTCTGAGTAGTCCCTTTCAGTCTGTCAGCAGGAGAGTAAGGAAGCTGTTGTTATTGGCCCCCAACGAGCACTCGTACCCTCAAAAATGATAACGGGTTAATTCAATAATTAACTTCATTATGGGCTACTATGTATGTGGTGCCATCCCTGGTCTTAAGGAGCTCACCTCCTGCAAAACAAAAGATGTACTACCTCTGTGGTCTGTGATTCTGAGAGGACGAAAAGGGAAACTTTCCCATTCCCAACCTCAATCTTGGGGGTGCCTATTATTATAGTAAGTGTCAGCCCTGGAGTCAGGAAGATCTGGGGTTCAGGTCCTGTCTCTGACACGGACTGGCTGTGTGACTCTGGGTAAGTCACTGTATGAAATTCTAAGTTTTAGGAAATGTCATCTTTTATCAGTGGTTACAGTCCGAGATAGTGTCAATATGCAATGCAGGAGAGAGTCTCTGCACATCGATTCTCATACTCTCCATCCCTTTAATTAGTGTGTAGCGGTGCCCAGGGACAGCAGGCAAGAGCATTAGTGATAAGAGGTGAGCTGACCCCACTGTCCAAAGCCCAAGCCTGGGGGAAGCTCTTCATGTCACCTTCAAACATACAAGAAAAAGTTTTCGGATAAGGGGTGAGATCTCAGCTGGGAGCCACTAGGGTCCTGGAGCCAATGTCTAATGTGAGGCCAAAGCTCACAGTCTGAACCCCAGCTCACCCACTGATTGCTTGGGTGATTCGAAGCCAATCACTTCCTGCTGCTGGGCTTGCCTCCTTACCTGGCTCAGCTAAGTCCCTTCCAGCTCTCACTGCTATGATCCTGTGAGCCCCCCAAGGTGAGTGCTGGACAGGGAGGAAGCCCAGCCCCGCTACCTGTGACTTCTGGCTGAAATTATCAGGGTGGACCAGGCGCTGGAGGTGCTGGTACCGACGCTTCAGATTCGGGACATCCACTGTGAAGGACTGGTCGCTGGAGAGGAAGGTCAGAGAGGGCAGGACTGAATGGGGAGCAGAGAGAGCACCCCCTCAGGAGACCAGTTACTAGTCATTTCTGTACCATTATCAGTCCTATGGGCAAACATGGACTGTGCCTTGTATACAGCTGGCACTTAAAAAATGCAGGTTGAATTGAAATGAAACACAAGGGTCAGGTTAGAACCTGCAAAATAGGGTCGGAGGCCCTGGGCTGCAGTTTCAGTCTTGGCCCTGCCCCATCACTTTGGCCAGTTATTGGGTTAGATTGGGGGTGGGATGAGGTCAAAACCTCATGACCTGGCCCCCCCCCCCCCCCGGCCTCCCTTGGGGTTCATTCCCTGTCTCCCTTGCACCTGCTTCCCTTTGTGGGATTCCTGTCACATCTCTCAGGGCCCAGCATAAGCATGCAGCTCTGCACACAGAGCGGCTACTACAAAGCTCCGTCCCCACCCCAGGAAGCCCCATGTGGCTGCTCCATGTCCCTCCCCCGCCCACATGAGTTTCCCCTCACGTTAGGCCCCACGGGCTCCACGTCCTGCCCCCTACTCCAGGCTCCGCCCCCCAGAGACCAGGGCGCCTCCAGGCCCTGCCCCCACCCCAGCCCCTTCGTCCCCAGTCCCCTCCTCCACAGGGAAGCTCTCACCAGTCCATGAGGCGGAAGAAGTCTGACTCGGGGGCTGGGCGGCTGCAGCGCACGGCAGGAGGGACAGAAGAGCGGATCTCCGCCCGCGGGCACCCCCTGGCTGCCGCAGCTCCAGCAGGTGGGGGCGGTCCGTGGCGCTGAGGTCGTGTCGCCGCAGCCGCTGCTGCAGGGCCTTCCCGGGGCCCGCCATACCCTGCGTAGGGCCCGGGCTGCGCCCTGCCACATCTGGCCCACAACAGCACCTGCCTCGGTCACCCTCGGTCACGCCGGTTCTGGGCAGTGGGGCTGGGCTGCGCTCTGGCCCAAATAAAGCCAATTGATTGGTCGCTGGAGCTCGGGGGCGGAGTTTCGACTCAAGCGGGGCGGGGGTGGGCGGGGCGAGAGGGAGGCGGGGCGGGGGAGCCGAGGGTCCTGAGGTCACGTGCGGTGAGGTCTTCTCAGACTACAAGGTCCAGCAGGCTTTGCGGCCAACCTTTCCGTATCCGGCGAGCTTCTAATTGGTCGGAGCGAAGGTTTGTGTCTGTTTTGGATCGCTGATTGGTGGGTTTTATACCCGAGCGTTTCGCGCGAGCCTATGCCTCGGGCTCGGGAGCTCAGTGCAGGTTTGGCGAAGCAGGGATCTGGGTGAGTCAGGATCCTGCGGCTGGTGCCTTGGGGCCGGCCTTCCTTCCCCCGGCGAGCCTGGTGCGCTCCGGGGCCGGCGCCCCGTCGCCGCCGTCTTCCTGCGGTCCCTTTGTCTGCCTGTGTCCAGTTAAGCGGGGAGAAGCCGGCTCACTGGCCACGGTGCCCTCGCAGCTTCCCTCCCCCCCCCCAGCGAGGCCTCAGTGTGACCATCTGTAAAATGGGCTCGCGGTGACCGGGCTCGCCTGGGCATCGGCTCCGTTCTCTCCTTCCCAGATGCGGGTCCGCAGGCTGCATCCTCAGGCTGTGCTTCCACTTCCCGGAGGGCCAAGCTGAAGGGCGGCCCTCGCCCTCGGCCGTGACCGAGCGGACGGGCCCCGGCAGCGGCAGTAATCGACCCTCCGTGCCTCCGGCGCCCGAGCTCTTGTGGAGCGAGGCAGTAGGGCTGGGCGCGGGGGGCAGCCCCGGGGCGGGGACGGGCCGAGAAATGCACCCTCTCCGTGCCCGGGGATGCTGGCGGGGTGAGGGGAGGCTTGGGGGAGGGGGAGGGGAAGAGAGAGACAGAGACAGAGAGAGGAGAGACAAAAATAGGGAGAGAGAGAATGAGATGGGAGAGAGATGGAGGTGGGGGGGAGAGAAACAGAGACAGAAAGACGGAAGAGAGACAGAGAGAGAGAGTGAAAGGAGGGGGGAGAGAGGGAGAGGAAGAGAGGGGGGAGTGAGAGAGGAGAGGAGAAACAGAATGAGATAGGAGAGATTCGAGGAGAGAGAAAGAAACAAGAGAGACAGAGTGAAAGGTGGGGAGAGAGAGGGGAAGAGAGGGGGGAGTGAGAGAAAGGAGAGAGGAGAAACAGAATGAGATGGGAGAGAGATTGGGGGAGAGAGAGAGGAGAAACAGAAGGAGAAAGAAGAGGGAAGGAGAGACACAAATGGAGGGAGACAGAGAGGGAAGGAGAGAGAGAAAGGATAGAGATGGGGGACTGAGGGAGAGAGAGGACAGAAAGAGAAAAAAGGGGGGGGTAGAGAGAAAGCGAGAGAGACAGAAGGTGAAAGAAGAGAGAAGAGGAAAGAAACAAATGAGGAGGGAGAAAGACAAAGGGAGAGAGGAGAGAGAGGGGGGGAGAGAGAAAGAGGATAGTAGACAGATGGGAGAAAGATTGACTGGGAAGGGAGAGAAAGAGGAGAGACAGAAGGGAGATTGATGGAGAGGGAGAGGAGAGACAGAAAGAGATGGGAGAGAGAGAAATGGGAGGAAGAGGAGAGACAGGGAAAGACACAGAAGTGGGAGAGAGAGGTACAGGAGGGACAGAGAGAGAGGGAGGGAGAGAGAGAGAGAGAGAACACACCTGCGCCCTTGGGCACATCAGGAGAAATTCTGTTACCTGGCAGTGAGGAAGGGACCCACATTCAGCCATGACCTTTTCCAAAATGGGTCTAGATGAATGTAAACCAAGTAGAACTGAGTTGTTGAAGAATTGTGGAAGATTAATTTGGATGTAGGGTTTGTGACAAGCAAATGGTGTGGGCCTATTAATAATGATTGTCATTTTCATAGCGATTTAAAATTTAAAAAGTCTTTTTACTAAGTTATCTCTAAAAGTCCCTTCCAGCTATATTTTTTTTAAATGTTTTTGAAGGGCTTAGAGAGGTGAAAGAAATGCTTCCTTATTGAAAGGTTTCATGGCCGTATTCAGTGTAATAAATATTCTTAGCATTTATTAATGCTGGGTACTGCTGGATGTTGGGTTGATGAACAGAACAGTCTGCCCTCCAAAAGCATCTCCTGACTTGAACTAGATGTCTACATACAATCAAATACAAAATATTTATGAAGTAGAAGCAAAGTAAGGTGGGGGGGGTGTTAGCAAATAGAAGGAGCAAGAGAGCATCTTCTGGGAAGGGAGTTAGGGATTTTATGAAGCATATGGCAGTGAGGAGAGTGAGCATTCCAGGGATGGAAGGTAGCCTGGGTCAAAGCCCAGGAGTAAGAAATGAAATCTTGAAGTTTGGGATGGATAAAGCAGCTAGTTTTGCTAGGCTGTAGAGGCTTGGTAGATCAGTGAATAGAGCCCCAGGCCTGGAGGCAGGAAGACCTGAGTTCAAATCCAGCCTCAGGCACTGACTAGCTGTGTGGCCCTGGGCAAATCACTTCACCTTTGTCTGCCTCAGTTTCCTCATCTGTGAAATGGGGATAATTATAGTATCTACCACCATCCACAATTGTTTTGAGGATAAAATGAGTTAATATCTTTGAAGTGCTTTGCAAATCTTAAAGCATTATAGAAATGCTGGCTATTATTCTTTCTTATTTTATTATAATTTATAATTATTATTGTTCAAATGATGCTAGTACTAACCTTAGTTACATGACTAATCCTCATTCCAGGTTCTGAGAGCTTAATTTTGGGATTCTTGTTTTGCTCAGTTTTTTTTTGTCTGGATTTGGATACTAGACTTTTACAGTTGCTCCTCTTCCACATCAGTAATTATTCATGTCTTAGGCCCCCAGACTCATATTTACTGCTTTTCACTTTCTTTTGAAGCAAAGATGTCCCGGGAGACGGGAGGCGACTCGCAGCAGTCGCATAGCACCTCCCAGTCCCAGACTGCTTCCAGCTCCTCCTCTGGCACCTCCCACAGTCAGTCTTCCCACTCCAGCTCAGGGACCATCAGTTCCTTAGACACTGTTCCTACTCAGGACCTTCCTTCCATTCCCGAGGACCAGGAACCAGAAGAACTCGCCCCTCAGCCCTGGGGTCGCCTATGGGCTCTCGAGGATGGATTCTCTAACCTTGGTAAGACAATAAGACTTAAGTCTGACTGTGGGGCAGAACAGAGTGTTTATTTAATAAAGAATCTTGTTTTTTTTTTTTTTAAATATCTGTTCCAAAACTCTGTGCTAGGTTCCTACTGCTTTGGGAGCAATTCGGGGATGAAATTGTGACCCTATTGGATAGAATGGGCCCGGTATGGGGGGACCGTCAGCCTGCCAGTTGTGATCCTTATTCCAAAGACAGCTGCTGGAAAGGATGGGGTAACATGTCCAGGGGGTGACTTAAAGTATGGAGGTGTCACTTTGTCCTTTTGGTAATGGGGGGGCCATTGAAGGTTTTTGACCAGGAGAGTAATGTGTTCAACAGGGCCGGGCCGGGTGGGTTAGAGACTGAAGTCGGGGAGGCCAGCTTTTAGCTGGTGGTGCTGGTTGAGTTGTCCAGGCCCAAGGACGTCAAGTGAAGAGGGCTCAGAGGAAGAGGAAGGATGCCTGCGGAGGCCTTGCTGGGGAATGTCTGTCTGTCCGAGGGTGTAGGAAGGAAAGGAGGACAAATCAAAGAGGAGTGTCAATAGATGTTTGAGAAAATGGCGGCGTTATCAGGTGTTTGTTGTGAGAGCAGCTAGGTGGTGCTGTGGGTACAATGCTGAGCCTGGAGTTAGGGAGACCTCAGATCTGAGTAGCCGGTGACAGGTCATTTTGCCTCTGTTTGCCTCAGTTTCCTCAACTGTGAAATGGGGGTCATAACAGCACCTCCCTCCTGGGGCTGTTGTGAGGATACAATGAGATCATACATGCAAAGTGCCTGGCGCATAGCAGGTGCTTAATAAAGCATTTCCTTCCTGTTGGGGTATGGGGAGGGTAAATGATGGTTTCTGTTTTAGACTGGTTGGATTTGAAGGGGCAGTAGGACCTCTGAGAGGGTCAGTGAGTTCATCAGTGTCCATTCTCCCATGGCAGATCCCACCCTACCCCAAGCTGCAGAGCTCAGTTGGAGCTTGGCCTCAGTCTTCCCCGAGACCCAGACAGATGAAGTGATTGGCCCCTGCCCGGCCAGGCCAGGAATGGGGGGGGGGGAGGTCTACCCTGAGGCTTACACCCAGGTTCCTCATTCCTTCCCTTTTGCCCTGCTGCATCTCAATAATAGTAACTCTCCCGACCCAGACTGGTGGCTGTCCTTGTAGGATTCCATAGGGCTTTTCCCACAACTCCCTGTAAGACCGGCAGCTGAGGTTTAGTAAAGGGAAGTAAAAAGCTTGGACTTGACAGAGGCCTTCAGAGGCTGCCTCCAGGGTGGCCTTTCCTGGTGCCTGGAGCTTAGTGGAGATTTGGACACTTGGGCTTTAGCTTGAACTAAGAGGCCCATTAAAAATGGAATAGTTATGGGGTGGGGGGGAACATAGGAGGAGGAAAGAAGAGGGAGACAGAATGTGTGCATTGCGGGGAGGGAGAGATTGGGAGACTGAACCTTGGGGGAAACACCCACACTTAGGAGATTGGAAGAGAAGGTGTAGACATCAAAGCTCGGGAGGTTGGAAGAGAAGGTGTAGACATCAAAGCTCGGGAGGTTGGAAGAGAAGGTGTAGACATCAAAGCTCGGGAGGTTGGAAGAGAAGGTGTAGACATCAAAGCTCGGGAGGTTGGAAGAGAAGGTGTAGACATCAAAGCTCGGGAGGTTGGAAGAGAAGGTGTAGACATCAAAGCTTAGGAGGTTGGAAGAGAAGGTGTAAAGACATCAAAGCTCGGGAGGTTTGAAGAGAAGGTGTAGACATCAAAGAGGATGGGAGGTTTGGTTGAAGGGGTTCTTTGTCTTGGGATCTGGGGAGGAGAGAGCTTCTTGAAGGAAGGGTGGGTGATGAGATGCTGCTGAGAGGTCTGAGTTGTCAGACCTGAGGAAACGGTGAAGCAATCTGTA